ATATATATATATATATATATATATATATATATATATATATATGAGAGTAAAACATTTCTGGATACTGTATATTGGGCTTTATTCCAAATTGGCATTATCATAACATGGTAATAATAATTAGTATTAAGAATAGAATTTTAAGTTATTTCCAATAAAACTTGGTCCATGGCAAATTTTCAATGAACTCTTGGTCTGTTATTGATTGAAATGCCAGTGTTTTGAATGCTGTCGTTTAATAATGGCTGTGTATTGACTAGTCACTACTAGGGAATCAAAATTATTTGCTTAGAAATGAGGATGTTGCTCAAAGTTTTAGAGCAGTTAATAGATAAATCTTCAATAATTGTTCAGCAGAATCACCAACAAATAATACTTTAATAGTCAACAATCAAGCAGTTTGCAGTAGTTGACACTAGGTGTCTACTATTCATAAAAAGAAATTTAAAATTGGCATCAATGCAATAGTTACGTTCGATCGTTACATAATTAGTAATAATTATGAGTAACAAATTAATGTTGCATTAATCAGCTCTATAAGTATCATACATAGGTGGACGAAGACAACCTATAACGTTTTACATTCCAGTTAAGAGTTGTATTTTTATTGTGTATGTATCAATGTAAGACTTTAAGACTTGATTTGTTCATTACATGCATTCCCGCTTACTATGCGTAAGTTCTTGGAGTTTTCAAACATTAATTAAATAAAAATTCGTTATTATTAGATTACATGAATGCTAGTCGGTCCTGGTCAGTCACTACTATTCTAGGGTGGTCTTCGTTGTTTAATTTGATGTTAGTGTAAAATACAGTTACTGTTCAGATTGGAACTAATCGAAAACATTAAAAGATATCAAATAACCAAAGGCGGCAAGTTTTACACCGCCTATAACATGTATTTAAAACTTTGGTTGTGTACTACGTATTACTATCGTCAGTTGTTACTGGAGCTTCCGAGGCATTCGACGTTTTACTGCTACAGAATGAGAGTGAGCAACAGAGGGAAATATGGGGGCTAAGAGGAGCGAGAGCGAGAGAGAGAGAGAGAGAGTGCGGCAGGGAAAGCAGAAAAGAGGGGGACGGAGAGAGGGAAAGAGAGGAGGGGAGAAGGGTGAGAGGAGGGGGAGAGGGAGAGAGAGAGAGAGAGAGAGAGAGAGAGAGAGAGTAGAGAGAGAGAGAGAGAGAGAGAGAGAGAGAG